TATACGGTGTTCCACTCAATTCCATCATAGTCAATAAAGAACTGTGTTTTTTTTAAGATTAAAATGTTAGGTGGCAAATATTTACGCAGCTGTGTGGACAAAACACGTGACCAAAAGATTGTATCGTTGAGGGAAATCTGCAGTTCCTATCTAACCCTGACATAAATCCGAATGCGCCGACTTTGATGTTGAATTGGGTCCCAGCAAATCTTGAAAAAAACGCTGCTCCATGAGTATAAGAGAGCTAAACAGCTTTGCGTACGCATAATTCCTACCATCGTGCTTCAGATGATTTATATCCGCACAGAAATGTGTTCTAGTTCGCATTTGTATTTCAAGCTGACGCAGTTAAGCCCCAAGTAAGGCTTATATGTAAGGAAATGTATAATTTGACTTTAAACGACTAGAGTAGAAAAGGTTATTCATAATTCAAAATGCGCGCGCTTTGTCATTTGTGCGCGTTAACTCCTCATTGTGTCGATACGCAGCGAACATTCGGCGCGATTTCGTCACGTTGTTCAACCGTTTGGATTCATTTCAAGTCGTACCATCCTTTTGGTAGACAACTGCTAAAGGTATGCCGCCAAAGTTCGACCCCACTGAGATCAAGATTGGTGAGTTTCCGAAACGCGCTTTTCATGAGTTGGTTTCGCCGTGGGTCTTGATCGTTTCGAAATGTCCAGCTTTTTAGTGTATCTTCGATGTGTTGGAGGAGAAGTAGGTGCTACCTCCGCACTTGCCCCAAAGGTCGGACCACTCGGTTTGTCACCGAAGAAAGTCGGTGATGACATCGCAAAGGCCACTCAGGATTGGAAGGGCTTGAAAGTCACATGCAAGCTCACTATCCAGAATCGTGTCGCCAAAATCGACGTCGTTCCATCAGCAGCGTCTCTCCTCGTGAAGGAACTCAAGGAACCTCCTCGCGACCGCAAGAAGGTCAAGAACGGTATGCACCTTTGGTGGCGAAGGGTCGAGAGTCCATATGCTCTTATCCCCCAGTCTCTTGTTTTTGCATAGACTGGTAACGCAAGCAACGGGTGTTACTTTAGTGAGTTCTATTTTTCCAATGTGAAGGTGGTCTTGGGAAAAGTCGGTTTTTGCGTTTTTCGAATTGTTCCTAATTTCAGTGAAGCACAATGGAGATTTGACGCTTGACTCCATCATCAAGATTGCTCGAATCATGAGGCCTCGTTCCATGGCTCGGAAGCTGGAAGGAACTGTCAAGGAGATCTTAGGTTTGCATAAGTTTATTAAATGAATATACATTGAGTGAGAGTTACTTGTTCAGGAACTGCCCAATCAGTTGGTTGCACCATCGATGGTCAGCACCCTCACGATATAATAGAGCAGATTGCGAGCGGTGAAATTGAGATACCCGCCGAGTGAATTGTTGATTTGTTGTTGATAAATTGTTATTTGGTATCTTGGTCTGTTTAAAGTTATCCGAAAATTTGTATCGGAGACTGTGCATAGCTAGCGCCGTTTTTCGCGTAAAAATTATTGTAAAGTGTTTGTAAATCGATAGAGACTGAGTGAAGATGCACTCAAAAGGAGACAGAGTTAGCGGAAAGC